GGGAGCAGCTCTGAGAAGCAAGGTAGCAGTTGCCTTAAGCTGGGCCAAGTGGTTCTGAGTTTCAACAAAGGATGGTAACTGGAGCATCATAATCAGCGGAGCTGTGCCCAGAGATTCACACGAGTTGTTTCTTATTTTAATTTTCTGTTATGAGGAAATGGATGGAGTTTTTATATGGGTGGAGGGAAATGAATAGAACCTTTGCCATGTAGCTTACTCTCGGGGAGTCCGGGAGATCTGCCACAAACAGGGTCTGACTGAGACTTAAAAAACAACTAAGGGAATTCAGGAAATCTGTTACAGACATGGAAACAGCATATGCCCAAATATGGAAGTACTTCACCAGAGTATAAGTGGGTGAAGAAGAGGTAGAACAGGAGACTGCTGTAGCCTAGCAGGCTAAGGACATTGCCAGGCAGTGGTGGCACACGCCTTTGGCCTTTGTTCCCAGCACTCAGGAGGCAGAGACTGGCAGATCCCTGTGAGTTCAAGACTGCCTGGTCTTCAGAGTGAGTTCCAGGACAGCCAGCGCTATACAGAGAAACCCTGTCTCAAAACAAAACACCAACAACAAAAGATGCTAAGGACACAGGAATGGGAAAGAAGAGGCAGGAGGCAGGTTAGCCATACTATATAGAAATTGAGGCATTCCAAATGCCAAAGTGGAGCTGTGGGGATGTGGAAGAACCAAGATCAGTCACCCTGGAGACTCGCTAGACCAAGCTGGCTCTGTGCCATGCATCAATCCACTTGGGTAGAATTCACAATGAACATTCTATAAGATGGGACTCATTCATGCATGCATGTATCTGTATATCACGTATTCATTCCATTATATATAATACAGATTGTTATATTTATATACACACATATATATTGTAATGATCTGTATTGACTACTTATTGTGAGCTTTCCCTTAATTATCTTGACCCTGACATTTCTTATAAGGTATATTCCTCAGTATCTGCACCCTACCGATAAAGAAACTAAGCCTTAGGGGTTGTCCAAGGTCAGAGAGGTGGTAAATGATGGGGCTGAGATTCAAATTCAGCCAGTCAGAAGCTTGAGGCAACTCCTGAGCTAGCACCACACAGACTCCAGCCCTTAGCCAGGTGGCCTTGGCTGCTTTGTTCCTTCAACAAATAGGCAGTGAACTGCGACGTGAAGTTAGGACCCAGACATTGTGCGGAGTGTTGGGAATGGAGATTGATCAGGATGGAAAGTCAGATCCTCGCCTTGAACATGCCCAGTGAAGGCGCAGCAAGTGTGTGGATAACTAACACAAAACAGAATGGCTAATTGTAAAGCAAGAACAAAAGCAGAGAAGGGACTACCTTGACATAAAATGGTTTTCATGGCAACATGGCTCAGATATTGACTTTTACAGACTGAAGCAGAGGAATGTATGAGCTGTTAAGGGTCATTAGTAAGTGAACACCCTAGTCAAGACAGGAATCCAAGAACCCAAACATAGTCTGTGGATATTGACATGGCTCTACTCTGCATCTCCCACCATCCTAGACGCCAAGTGTGCCATGTAGTATGAGACAGGAACGTGCTAACTTGCCATGATCCCACCTCTCTTCCTGAAATCTCTAGTTCCTGGCATCTGAAGATTTGCAATGCACACTAGATTCCATCCATTATCAGTTTTACAAAATGAGGCCTACCACGTTTCTTTCTTCCATATCCCGCTCATGGATGGAAGACTCTCCTGTCTGGGCAGAACCCTGGGAGAAAGGAAGATAGAGGGCTCCTTCCTTCTACTTCCCAAAGCAGGAAAATCTTAGCCGTTATTTAAAATAAGAAGATCCTCTTGAGGTAATAAATATAGAGTGGATTATTCCTTTACTAAAGAAGTAAATTAGTGTGTATGTGTGTGTGTGTGTGTGTGTGTGTGTGCATGTGTGTGTGTGCATGTGTGTGTATGCATGCTTACACGGCATGCACCTCTTGTACCACAGGCTTATAGCACTCGCAGGACAAAAGAGGATGTCAGATTCCTCTTTTGTAATTCCTTGGAGTTACATGAAGTGATCTGCCGTATGGGTGCTGGAAACTAACCCCTGGCCCTCTGTAAGAGCAGCAGGTACTCCTAACCACTGAACTGTCTTTCTAGCTTCAGATTTCTCATTTTTAACAGGAGAGCAGAGAAAGGGGAAACATTGGGGAGGCAAAGAGTTCTTGACTAATTCTTCGAAAATGTCTTCTAGTGTGTATGATTTTTTTTACCTCTCAACCAATGCGAAGTATTATCTGGCTGAGATTGCAGCTTCCTCTATGACCCATGTGGGTCTTATTGCATCAAGACCTGACAGGGCTGGCTTCAGAGGCAGAAAATAAAGGATTCTGTTAGATAGTATTCCTGGTATCGTGGCCAGGTGGGACTGTTGTAGACATGAGACATGATAGAGAGGAATCTCTTGTTGGTCATCGTCAGTTAGAGAGTAGTTCATAGGAATCTCTAACTGCCTGGTCCCTTCTCTTCCCTGATGGCATCCCTTCCTATCTATTGACTCTAGAATTTATGATCGCCAGGCTATGCCCCCTACTACAACAGAGCCCACGATGTTACAACTGTCACCAGTAAACAGCACTGCTCCCTTTATGTCCTGATGCCATCCTCTTCCTCTGCATTCACTCCTCCAGAGCCATCAAAGTGTCCTGTCTTAGCCGTGTCTCCCGCCGGCGTTCTTTACAGATGACAAATGGAGACTCACAACGATGACATGTCTCCTCTCCAGTGACGAGGCTGATAAGTGACATTACAGAATCGTAGGTTCAGGTCACCCATTTTAAACCTAGTGCTACTTACAGATTGATAGGATTGATACGAAGAGCTCAGGGTCTACCAGCAATCGGATCTGGCTGTGTCAGGCGTCAGTCATTTAGGGGCAGTATCAAAATCACCTGTGGATGGGGGCCAACTGCGGGGATTGTAGCCCCGCCCACAGACCTACCGCGTTAGCGTCTGAGTCAGTTGCTCATTGAAACCTACCGAGCGTTGCTTTAAGATATGCTTGTAAACCTACCACAACATGTAATCCTTGAATCCCTGTGAGAAGGGATCACACCCTGTTCACCATTAAGACAAGACTCCAAACCCTGAGCAAGAACCATATTAAGAGCCAGGGAGACATGCTATGGATCCAGGTGGAGGGTGTCAGGTGAATCACAATGTGGCTTTCATTCCCAAACTCAAAGAGCAGTGTCTGCTGGTATTCTAACTAACCTGGCTGGAGAAACACATACAAGCGTGCATGCACACATGTATGTGCAAGAGTTTGAAGAGGGGCAGCATGAGGGGGATCACGGCTTGGGCTTCTCGGTCCTTAGGCATGAATGGTTTGTTTCAGCCATATTAAACTTCAGTATCGGTGGAGTTGGCATGTATCTGAGCTCAGGGACCATCTGGACAGCACTCCTTGGCTTTCCACTCCACTGCATCAGCTCCATACAGTGCACAACCCCTTTGTCCCGGAAAGCGTCCAGCACAGGCTGCTTCAGCACAGGACGTGTGGGCCTCTGTTGAGCATGCGCACTGTGGTGCAGGTGGCATTCAGCCCAGTTATCAGAGGAAGGCAGTAATTGCAAGTCGGAGGCCAGCAGCCGACAGCGTCACTCCCTCTCCTGCTATGTATCTTCTCTGTACATGGTTCCAGACTATCGCCAGCTTGTTCCCTCTTTAAAATGGGAAATGTGATAATGTCAGTCTCTCGTTTAATTCCAGTGTTACGTTCCTGCAGCCTCTGTCACAAAGCTTGAACCTCTTACCAGAGCTTCACAAGGCACCGAGTCACCTGACCCCAAATCACTGTCTTTCGTGCCCTCACCCCACCAGACTCCACAGTGCAGAGATAGCTTGTGATTTACATTCCCAGGCAACACACTAGGAACCTTGCCTCAGTGTACCCCTTCTGTCTAGAATTCTCAAACCAGCTCAGAGACGCCAGTCTCCCACTTCATATCCTGAGTAATGTAAATGTTTGCTGAGCCAGGCACTGGTGGTGCCCTCCCTTAATCCCAGCACTTACGAGGCAGAGACAGATGGTTCTTTGTGAGTTCAAGGCCAGTCTGTTCTACAGATTGAGTTCCAGGACAGCCAGGGCTGTTACACAGAGAAGCTCTGTCTCAGGATAAAATACAAATAAATCCAGGATGTAGTGGTGCATGCCTTTAATCCCAGCCTCAGGAGGCAGAGGCAGGCAGATCTCTGTAAATTCGAGGCCAGCCTGGTGTACAAGAGCTAGTTCCAGGAACACAGAGAAACCTTGTCTTGAAAAAAAATAAAGAAAAATAAACAAAACAAAAATACAAAAAAAGTAAAAAAAAAAAAAAAAAGGTCATGTTAATGTCTGTCTAGCAACAAAGGCTGGACACCTAACCCCTCCTCAGACTTCCATTCAGGGGCGCTACCAAAATGTGAGGATTCTAGAAGCAGGGGGAAGCCAAGTTAAGGGGAAAACTTCTTCAGAGAGTTTACCATGTTTGTAGCCAGAGCATCTTGGCATATCTGTTCCAGACAGCCAACTGGGCTGTCTGGTGGTCAGGACCAGAGCCAGAGACAAATCTACATAATAGAGCCATTGATCACTGTCACCAGGTGCAGCCAGCTGTGGTCTGGAGAGAATTTTTTTCCCAAAGATGTTCTCTTGGGGAAACCGCTCCTTAATAGAAGGCGCTTAAGAGTGGCGAGGGTCAGTCAATGTGAGAAGGTTCTTTCCTGCTCAAGTTTCAAGACAGTTTTTTACTGAATGAACTTTAAAATCTTTCTGTTTCTGTTCTTGGAACTTGGAATCGCTGTCTGCCCCTTCACAGTGGAAATTTGTGCATCCTGTATCTGGAAACCTTGTTTCTTCTCGGTGCTGTTCATTACAATTTTCTACTGTGACTGTAGATGCAGTTTTCCCCATTTATGATGACAGTTTGATGTTGGCAAAATTCAGTCTTTGCATTCTGCAACTTTTGTAATTGTACGTCTTTCATATTCTTCGCTAAAGGGTTTCGCTATGGTGACTGAGGAGGTGGCTCAGCTAAACAGCCTGGTGTGCAAGTATGAGGACTTGCCTGGAGATCCCTGGCAACCATGTAACAGCCAGGCATGAGGCTAGCAAGCTGGCACAGCCAGAAACGATGTGCTGCTAACTCTGATGATCTGGGTTCAATCCCCAGAATACACACAGCAGAAGAAGAGAACCAGCTCCTAAAAGCTGTATTCTGACTACACATAGGCCCCATAACATATGTGTATGCACACAGACTACCACTGCCACCTTAACACCAAATATGAATGTAAGACAATTAAAGTCAGGCACAAGGGTGTGTGTCTGTCATCCCAGCACTGGGGAAGAGGGACGGAAACAGGCGGATCCCTGTAGTTCATTGGCCAGCCATCCTAGTTAACCCACGAGGTCATATTTCAGTGTTTGGAACAGCAAAGGGGAGTTGGTCTCAACCTCTGTCCTTCACACACATGTACTTGTATACATGTACACACACACACACACACACACACACACACACACATACTTTTATGACCTGTATAATACCCTTCACAGGATTCTTTACTCATTGCTGGAAGTAATTTTGAATAATAATGGTCTGGGCAGTTATGTCCTTTGTTTCTGACTGATGGGACTCTCTGGGTTCATTCACCACAGAAAAGGGAAATTGCTTCTCACCCAGATTTTCACCGTGGCTCACACGGTTCTTTCTTTTTATTTAAACATCGATCAGCGCATGACTCCATCTGAGTACTTGGTTACCACCTGTCTTAATTCACTTGTGTTACTGTAACAAACAGCCACAGGCTGAGTCAGTTTCTGTTTGTTTGCTTTTTTTTTTGTTTTTTTGAGACAGGGTTTCCCTGTAGCTTTGGAGCCTGTCCTGGAGCTAGCTCTTGTAGACCAGACTGGCCTCAAACTCACAGAGATCCGCCTGCCTCTGCCTCCCAAATGCTGGTATATTAAAGGCATGCGCCACCACCGCCCGGCCAGACCGAGTAATTATAAAGAAGAGATTTGAGATCTAAGCAGTTAGGGAGCCCAAAGCGATGGCATCGAGGGGTCAGTGTAGGCTGGAAGCCAAGCTCTTTCTTCCAAGATGTGCCTGTGAACTCTGTGTCTTCAGATGGTAGAGGGCAGAAGGGCTGGCAGCTCTGAGCTAGTTTCCCCCAGCCCTTTGATATGGTACTAATCCATGGGCGGGAATGGAGGGCATATGACAATCACTTCTTCTAAGACGCTACCTCTTAATACACAACAGGGTTAGGCTTCAGCATGAGCCTTAGAGGGACACTTCGAACTAAAGCACCTCTGGTCTCGCCAAGAGACTGGAGCCTCCATTTGGGCTCTTCATCCCAACACCGGTCACATGACACATATTTAGCAAATGACTGTTCAAATCATATGGTTTCCATTCTTATATTATAAAGATACTAATCTTTCTTAAGAGATGTATATTTGACTTTGCCAAATACAGTGAATGCCATCTCCGATGAATTTTGAACCACAGGTAATATGAATTCTAGGCTAGAGAGATGGCTCCTTAGTTAAGAACAGTGGTTGCTCTTCCAGAAGACCCAGGTCAATCCCAAGCACCCACAGAGTGGCTCACAGCTCTGGTCCCAGGGATCTGATGCCTTCTTCTGGCTTCTGTTGGCACTGCACACACTTGGTACACAGATAAACTTTTAGGCAAAACACCAGTATACATAACATTAAGAAATAAGATGGATTCTGTGGTAGAATCTTAATTGTAAAGATGTTCAACTTCCCGAAATAGATTCTCCTCTTTAGCAGAAGAATGTTGCCTTATTCTGTTGGGATTGCTATACTGACCTGTGCTTGTTTGGACTCAACTGGCTTCATTTGTCTTTTTGTGATTCTGCTTCTATGTCATACTCTTTCTGTGACTGAATTCATGTGGGAGACTAAACTAACCAGCTATGAGGTCAGTTCGCTGCATTCGAAACAGAGATGTACCGTCAAATCCACAATACACAAAACTGTCCATTTGGCAAAATTCACTATCATTTTAGGTTTTGGGTTTTATTTTTATCCTGTATGTATGTTTTTCCTGCATATATGCCTATGCAATGTGTGTGGCAGTGCCTAGAGAGGCCAGAAGAGGAAGCCAGATCTGTAACTGGAGTTACAGATGATTGTGCATTTATATGTGGGTATTGGGTATGAACCTGGGTCTCCTGGAAGAAAAGCCAGAGTTCTTAACCACTGAGCCATCTCTTCAGCCCCTCTGTTATCATTTTAATTTCCCTTACAATTAGAAAAGTGTACCAGGATATTTGATGGAAACAAACGACTTCCAGTGAGGTGGAGCCTGATTTCACCCTTTGGTGATATACATCCTTGTAATCTTCTCATTCACTTCTCATTTCTTTCTCTTGGCATGATAACCCTTTTATTGATTCATGAGAACTTTTTCTATATTAAGGACATTGATTTTCTTTGCTATATATATTCATACATTTCCCAATTTGCTCTTTACTCTTAATTTAATTTGGCTGTACATTTTAAAATTAAAGCATGATTCAAACTCAGTTATTCTATATTTCAAGATACACTTTTTTATTGACTTGAATGAGAAAAACTATAGAGACCAAACAAGCAGCATCCTTTATCTAATAATTACTTATGAGTTTATATTGCATTGGACTCCTTGATTGAGTGTTCCCCTTATTTATAGATCAACCAGCGTTTTCTTTGGCGTTAGAGGTCTGTAGGCTTTTCCTCTATGTTTATGAGGCAAGAAAGGTCACTGAGAGGATGTCCATGAGGCAGCAATGTTGCAAGGAAGCTGTAGGGATTCCCTGGGGCAGATGGTGGTGACCATTCCCTCCCCAGGCTGCTGTCCTCTTCAGATGTAAGAGACTAGGTTAAGGCAGTTGAGACTTGCAGAGTGCAAAATAAAAGAGTTGAGTTGGTAACTTGTGAGAACATTCTAGTTTCCTTCCTGGGCTGTTCCCCCATGCCCAGTCTTACCGTGGGAGAAAACAGCTCCCCCCAAATGGCCACTAGACATTCTCTTTTGGGTCTGATTTCATTCCTGGAAGTCTGTTTTCATTCCTGGAAGTCTCCTGTTAGAATTGTTCTGTCCTCAGCTCTCCGTGTTCCTCAGGTCTTGCATGGTTTTTGAGGTGCTCTTGTTGGCATTGTGGCTGTGATTGCTGGTCCAGGCTTTACTGTGCTGCCTTCACCCTGCAGTGCACGGAGGTAGGCTAGACAGGGCTGTGCAGTGAGTGCCGGGTTTGCCATCATCGGGCCGTGTATGTGGCAGACATCCTTCTCACCCCGTGTCTGTTGGCCCCAAAGCTTCCATGTCTTCCTCCTGTGTGGGGTAACGCTATTCAGCTCACCACACAGGGCAGTGCCAGTGGTCAAGACAACTCCGTAATTTGCAAATGACAAAGCTAGGCGCATGTGCCTGTGATTTCTGTTATTGTAGCTGAAAACTAATTCAGGAATCAATCATTTTCTTCTAAGTCAGAGGTTGCTGCTGCCGGCCCCTGCTCTTATCCCAGCTGTAGAAGCATTAGCCCTGCCGACAGGTCATTCAGGGATGTGACAGCCAAGCCTGAATGACTTCTCGTCCCCGCGAGTCTCTATCAGTGATAGGATCCTGTCAGTTTATAAATAAAAATCTAAATATTTAGAAGCCCTAAGCTCCCATGTGAAAACAAGGATTAAAATGAATATTTATGATCCAATAATTCTGTAACTGTCTTGGACATCATCCCTTAGCTGACACCCTACAAGCCTGTCACAGTTAGGACAGAAGCCAGAGCCCAGTCTGGCAATGCATCACCAGCTCTGTGACCTTGATAAAGTCATTCACCCTCTCTGACTCTGTCCCCCCAGCAGTGCAACTGGAAAGATGATGGGGAGTTCACAGTGTTTGCTCTGCAGGTTAAATGTGCTGTATACTAGGGAGTATAGAATGGTACCAAGTACACAGTATGTGCTCAATAAAGCATGAAGATCGTGCGTGTTACTTGACCTTGATTTCTGTCACTCTGCCCCTCCTGCAAATGTAGCAGAATCTCGTGTTTTGGGGATAAGGGGTTTGTTCCCTTAGTGCATTTGAGTGACAGCAGCTTGACATAAACTAGGCAGCTTGTAAACAGTAGAAATTTATTTCTCGTTGCTAAGATCAAGACACAGACAGACACAACGTCTGGCAAGGTCCAGCTTCCTCAGAAGTGGCATCTTTCGGTTATGTCCACACATGAAGGAAGAGGAAAGGTACCTCTTCGTGGTACCTCTTTTATAAGGGTGAAAGTCCTTCTGATAAGAACTCTCATGACCCAATAACCTCATAAGCCCATTCTTTCTAAGATCTCAATATGAACCCTCCAGGCACTCCCCTAGTTAGACACTTTCTCCAACAAGGTCACACCTCCTAATCCTTCCCAAACAGTTCCAATAGCTATATCAGGTATATGAGCCTACAGGTACCATTTTCATTCAAACCACCCCACTTCCCTGAGGACTCAAGATGAACTAAAGGTCAGGCCTTCAAAGATGAGTCCCTTGAGATCTTGGATCCTCCCAATTTTCAGAGACATAACTAAAGACCCCTAGCCAGTCAATAGTTCTAGTGTTTTAGGTAACTAAGTTGAACAGATTCCAAGCCTTGATAAGTTTCCACAGAGTTCTTGCTTTACTTAGAGGTTGTATTCATTGGTCTATGATCATGTCTCTAAAGTTTTATATGTATTACACCTGATATTCCACAGCATCCTTGTCCTTCACTCCACCATCATTGATTCTAGGTCTCTGCCACCATAAGTTACTTTAAATGCTATCTTTTATATGTTGTCTTGGTTGTGGTGTTTTAGCATGCCAATAGAAAAATAGCTAAAGGCGGAAGAAAAGGACCATTGGAGTCTCCAAGAACAGACCCCTTAAGCTATCAGCTCATCCTTCAAGTCACCTGAGTCTACCTATACGAAACTTCCCAGTCATCAGGGAGTCCTAATAAATATCATGATGGTGATATTTAACCAACTTCCACGCTGACAAAGATGAGATTGCCTCTTCTAAATTCCCTATTTGGTGACCTTGGTCTTGTACCTGATTCACCAGAA